TTTTACAAGCCTCTTTCTAGTATGAAGGATCTAATTATACAAAGTTACCCTCTTTGTTGCATTTGGGCAATAAAGGTAACTTTAGATATTTGTAGAAAAATTGGATACCTTCAGGACAATGCAGCTTAAATTTGAGTTCTTTTTAACTGGCCACACTTATTATTTATGTTCACTTCTCTTTTTTCTTTCGTCTCCTTTTTTTTCTTTCTCTTATTTTCCTCTTTCTGAATGTAGAGCAGAGGTACAGTGATCACCCAACCTTAAAGGTATTTTAAGACCAAAATTGAAGCACGAAACTCTATAGAACATAACAGAATTTATTATAGGGTAGTTTACTTACAGGGATGTAGGGTCGGAGGGGACAGACGACCCTAGCAGTTCTACACAAGCTATTCTGTGCTGCTAGATGGCTGTTCGAGTAAACATCCTACAGTATATACCAACTACTGATGACTGATGAGACAAAGGGACAAAGAATACAGTGCAAGCCGGGACCATACCTCCTGGGGGTCTTGTGGTGGATGACTCACTGACGCTAACCCCAGCGTGATATTTATCTCAGCAGTCATGTCTTTCTGGCCATACTGAGAATAATCTGTATAATTACATTGTATAGGCCTATAGAACACAGCTAATCATTAACTACAAGGCCTGTGTGCTGGCCAGAACCGTTAGGCCAGTCGAAGTAAAATCAAGAATAGAGAAACTTTGGGGCTTACAAAGATGGAGTCAGTTTGTTCACATCAACATCTGTACATCCTCCTCCTTCTTTCCTCTCCTGCTAATACAGAGAGATTGAGTCTCAAATTGGCATTGTTTTTTACTAGGACGTAGCATTATTGAATAATTACAGGTCTCTGAAATAGAAGTTGCTATTTATTTTCATTAAATGCTAGGTTTGGAAAAAGATTGATTTAAATTTGTTAACTAGGAGACTCCTTTATTCTGAGAATGAAAACCAAGAAACTCAGTATTAGATGGCTATTTATATTTTAAGTGTCTTCATACTATTTTCAGGGAAGAGAGGCTGCCATCTTGTGTTTGCTGTGTTCACTGCAGCACAGGAGACCCATTCAAAGTTCAGTTCTGTTGGACCAGCCAAGCACATAAAATGTTGAAGTGCTCATCAGTGTCCTGACTGAAGAAATATATAAAAATAAAACATAGCATTAGGGACATGTAATCCTTTAATACAGAGAAAACATTATATAGACCCTCTAATTCTTTTTTATTATTATTATTATTATTATTTGACCATAGGGTCCAGAAATAAACAATTGACAGTCTAAAATGTTTGAAGCATGGCTAACAGGTATAAAATAATTAACAATGTCACAAATAAATTCTGAAGTTAATGCTATCTGATAAAATGAATGTTGAAAAGTTGTTCTTGAATATGATATTAATAGCAAAGGCTGAATTTTATTTGGATAACATTTCCTACTTTCTTCTCCTATATTTACTTGCCTGTTTTTATTTAATTATCACCATAAAAATGTTTAATGGGGGTCATGACACAGCTAATGACAATAAAGCACAGGAAAATGCCTAACAAGGGTGCAGTAGAGGTGCCTTAACTTTGAATCGCAGAAATTGATAGGTGTTAGTGCCATCTTGTAGTTGAATGAAATATTGCAACAAAACAGCACAGGAACATGAATTTGATTTTTTTTGAACCAACAAACCAAATCTTTTTTTTTTTTTTTTGTCTAATATATTTATTAAAGATTAACTACATGTTAATGGCTTGGATTAATTGGGGGTTTTATTTTAATAAAATTTCCTGATTTCACTGGAAAGCCTATTACAATAAAAGAGCCTCCAAACATGTAAAACTTTCTTATCTATGAAATATAATAAGGTGGCATTTCCCAAAGAGAGATCAAGACTTATTAGTATTGAAATAGGAACTCAAGAAACGTAGGCCCTATGGTCAAAGAAGTCTGTTGCATGTCATGTTGCCTTCTTGGAGAGTTCCTTCACTTTAAAGGCTATAAGGGGTTCATTTCCAAAATATATAAAATAACTTACACAATTCAACACCAGGAAGACAAATAATGAAAATAAAAAATGGGCAAAGGACCTAAATAGACATTCTCCAAAGATGACATATGGATGGCCAGTAAACATATGAAATGATGCTTGACGTCACTAATCATCAGAGAGATGCAAATTACAACCACAATGAGATATCACCTCACACCTGTCAGAATAGTTACCATCAATAAATCACCCAACAATAAGTGCTGGTGAGGATGTGGAGAGAGGGAACCCTCGTGTACTATTGGTGGGAATGCAGACTGGTGTAGCCACTGTGGGAAACAGTATGGAGTTTCCTCATACTATTTAGAATGGAACTGCCTTTTGACCCAGCAATTCCACTTCAGGACTATATCCTAATAATCTCAAAACACCAATCAGAAAGAATTTGTGCACCCCTGTGTTCATAGCAGCACTATTTACGATAGTCAAGATCTAGAAACAGCCCAAGTGTCCTTGGGGACAGGAGTGGGTAAAAAAGCCCTGGTACATTCACACAATGGAACACTATGCACACTGTCACATGCTTGGGGGCCGCATAGATGGACCTGGAGATTATTATACTAAGTGAAATAAGCCAATCAGAGAAAGGAAAATACCATATAATCTCACTTATATGTGGAATCTAATGAACAAAATAGACTGACAAACAACATAGAAACGAGGCATGGATACACAGAATAGACTGACAGGTGAGAGGGGGAGGGGGAGGGGTACTGGATGAAAGAAGGTGAAGAGATCAGCTAAGTAACATGTATGCGTGATACACAGACACACATAGCAGTGCGCTAATGGCCAGAGGAAGGGGGTGCAGGGGCTGGGTGAGGGTGGGCAAAGGAGGGTGGGAAATTTGGGACATCTATAATAGTCTCAACAATAATTTTTTTTTAATTAAAAGATATAGAAAACAAATCGGTTTAATTTTGTTCTAAATCAGCATTTTCCAAATATGCTTGACCACAGAACTCTTTTTGTAAACAAATAATACCTATTAATGTTATCAGATAATAAACTGCTGAAATAAGTTTGGAAAAACACTTACATAGAAGGTTAGACACAAATCTTTTACTCATTCTAAATTAAAACAATGTTTCTATTTCTTTATGTTGGAATTACAAGCTGAGGTTTTGAACTATTAAGGACTCTAAATCACTGAAGGTCCCCTAAGTTAATAACAATTAGAATGTTTTTAAAGAAACTTGACTGTTATAAAATTATTACATTTTTATGATAGTTCCCAGAGGGCTAATCAATGGTTGCAAAGAGAGAAGCATAGCAAATTTTATTCTGTGCGGTCAAAACCAAGTGAGGAAAGTCAGATCACTGACGCCCATGAGTGTGTATATGACTCTGTCATTCCTGTGGTTAGGACTGTGACATTTGCTAACATAGTTACAATCTCAAATTCAGGTCAGCCTGTGGCCAAATCCACATGTTAATAAAATATTTTATCATCATAACATGTTTTTCAGAGTCCTTAAAAACAGCCGTTCTCTTTCTTTTATACTAATCCTTGAGATCTTTGTGCCTATCACAGGCTAAGAAATCTGTCCCTAATCCCTCACTTAACCCTTAGACCTACTCTTGTTAGCTGGATTGTTATTTCTTCAGGCTGTTGAATATTTACTGCCTCAAATGATATTATGGATATGACAAAATGTTCTGATTCTGTACTAAGTGCTGGAGATTTTATAAAAACAGCGACCCAGAAGGCTCTGGTATTATGGAGCTCATCATATTTTAGCAGGTGGTAACAATTGCATAGATGATTTTCAGAATGAAAGGCAATAACTTGATCTAGGGCATGACTGGGAAAATATAAATGGGTACATGGACTTTCGTATTCCTCAACATATGTGTTACAGCACTTTCAATCCCCAGGGTCCTCAGCCTGCGTTGTGAAAAATAGCATTTGAAGTATTAAGTATTTTGGCTGCATTGAGTCCCCTAAGGAACACATTAAAGCAGGTTACCATGTAATAGCCTGCATTTACATTTATAAATATTTTTTAAAGTTTGTACTATTATGATAAAATTAAACTACCCGAACGAGAATTTTACAATGGGAAATTAGGATCCCTATTCTATTAGACCCAGGTCTAGGCATACAAAAAACAAGCCATTACATTTATTTGAGGAATGTGGTCTCATTCATCAGTCAAAATGGGGAATGGTATAATATATGTGCAAGTACGTAAAATCCCTTCTCTCTTGCAGGTTCAGGAGAAAAAGCACAGGCATTCAAGTCCGAGAGCCTTGGCTGGAATTCTAACTCTCTCTCACTAGCTATGTGTCCGTACGCAACTCCCTTGGCAGCTCTGGTTTTCTTTATCATCTTTGGGAGCTTGGGAGGTGTTAAGGGATGAAATGAAGTATCCAGATTATTTCATAAACATGTGTCCCCTTCCCCCTCACTCCTTCTCTGAGATCTTCATTTCTTCCTATCATTCTAAAATGGAAAATCCCGAACAAGAGAGATTATAGATGAAGTTGAAGACTTGAGACTCATCTTTGCCTAACTAAGCCCATTAAACTCATATAAAAGTTTAGCAGTATATGTAAGTCTAAAACTAGTTAAATCAGCCAAGGTCATGGATCATCCTTTTTATGGTTAATCAGATGATACCAAGAGAAATGTCAGATTAATCTCTATCATTTCTGACATGAATTAAACATACATATGCAGCATGTAATAGAGGTTTTTTTTAGATACCAGAACAGGGTCACAGTACTAAGTGTGAAAATTTATTATTATTATTATTAGAGTAAATAATTTACTGTCACTTCAATAGTTCAGGAAAAATTTAGGAAAAATAAAAAACCTCTTAACCCTTATTTTCCATGTGATAATCTTTGTTCAACTTTTATTCCTTGAAATACTTGTTGGAGTTTGGAGGAGCTGTCCTCTTTCCTCCATAGAAGGCATAATTAACACGGATCAACCTGCATTTCTTTCACAGGGACAAGTGATCCATACGTGAAGTTTAAAATTGGAGGAAAAGAAGTTTTTAGAAGTAAAATAATATACAAGAACCTCAATCCTGTGTGGGAGGAGAAAGCAAGCATTCTTGTTGATCATCTCAGAGAGCCATTATATGTGAAGGTGAGCCATTTATTTGTTTTTCCCTAATGCAATTTGAAATAAAAATTTCTGTTTGATGGTATTTTGTCATGTCTCTCTGTCTGACAAGATTTTTCACCAGATATATTCTGCTGTATACAATTCTAATCTGTGGATGATATGATAAAAATGAGACAGAGGGGAGGGGGACAGTTTTTCTTCAGGACAGTTCTAGTGCCAGTCATTTAGGAGGATTATGAAGTCCACCTCCACCTGCTTTGTGCAGTCAGCTGATTTAGTGCACTTTGGAAACATATAAAACGAGTCTCCATATAAGGTAACAACAAGGAAAGCTTACACAGAAACTAGCCTTTCTGACCAAAAAATTATACCAAGGGCCCTGGCCAGGTGGCTCAGTTGGTTGGAGTATCCTCCCCTACTCCAAAATATTGCCAGTTCGATTGCTAGTCAGGGCACATACCTAGGTGGCTGGTTTGATCACCAGTGGGGATGTGTACAGGAGACAACAGATCAGTATTTCTCTCATCTGTCTCTCTGTCTCTCTCTTTCACACACACACACACACACACACACACACACACACACACTTTTCCCCTCTCTCTAAAATCAGTAAAACATATCTCGGGTGAGGATGAAAAAATGAAAAAAGATTTATATCAGAGAATCTACCAGTCCTGATTGTAAACAAAATGCTTTACTCGGGAAATAGGAAGGGTAAAGATAATAGGGGGAGAAATATTCCTGTATCTATTATATTATCAAAGATGAAAAAAAGGAAAGTCTTTTCTCTAGTTGATGTAGTTTCTTAAAGAAGAAGAATATGCCCTGGCCGGTTTGGCTCAGCGGTTAGAGTGTCAACCTGCGGTCCAGAGAGACCCTGGTTCGGTTCCCGCAAAGGGCACGTACCTTGGTTGCAGTTTGTCCCCGATCCTGGTTGGGTTGTGCCGGAGGCAGCCACTCGATGTGTCCCTGGTGTTTCTCTCTCTCTCTTCCTCTCTCCCTCCCTGTCTATCTAAAAAATATATATACACACACATATATATATGGAAAGGACTACAACCCTAATTCCTTGTTTTAATTTTATACTTGACTTTCCTTTAATTCATTTCTCTAGGTACGTATATTACTTTTGGCTCCTATTTTCTGAGGACCCTTCAATGACTAAACCTGTTTTGACTTTTACCACATCACACACCCATTCTTTCCTCTAAATTGGCACGTGAGCCCCACACCTTCTGTTGTCCCTCTTCCAGCCGTCTCTGGGCATCCTCATTCCCTCTGCTCCTCATTTCTATTGTTTCCAGTTGTTCTCTTCTCCACAGAAAGGAAAAAATAGTCAAGATTTTATTAAAATCATAGTATGATAGTTTATAAGAGCAATGAAAAGAGAATTTCCTAAGCCTATAGTTCATAGGTTTCTAGAATTCATTATGAGGAGAATAGACCAGTACAGTCGTCCCTCGTTTATCACTGTTAATTCGTTCCAGACTCTAGCGGTTGCACCTGGCATTGAAGGAGTCCTGGGGTGCTCGAATACATAGGCCTACAGTCCATACGTACAGTCATTTTAATTGTAATACAGGGGTGTATAATTGACTCAGACACCCAAGCGCGTGCTGTATCATTTTCACTGTCTTGATAAACTTTCTACTTATTTTTTTTATTAATTTAATTTCATTACAGATGTTTCTCCTTTTTCCCACCATTGACTCCCTCCTCCCCATCCCCTACCACCCCATCCCCAGCTTTGTTGTCTATGTCCATTGGTTATGCTTACATACATATAAGTTCTGTGGTTTATCCCTTCTTGCCCACCCCCTTCTAAGTAATGTCAGTTTGTACCCTACTTCTATGACTCTGGGTCTATTTTGTTCATCAGTTTGTTAAGTTCATTATATTCCACAAATAAGTGAGATTATGTGATTTTTGCCTTTCTCTGATTGGTTTGTTTTGCTTAGGATAATACTTTCCAGGTCCCTCCATGTCATCTCAAAGGATAAGAGATCTTTCTTTCTTACAGCTGCATAGTACTCCATTGTGTATATGTACCACAGCTTTATTATTTATTCATCTACTGAGGGACACTTGGGCTGTTTCCAGATCTTAGCTATTGTAAATAGTGCTGCTATGAACATAGGGGTACATATATTCTTTCTGATCGGTGTTTTAGGCTTTTTAGGATATATTCCTAGAAGTGGGATCACTGGGTCAAATGGCAGTTCAATTTTTAACTTTTTGAGGTAACATCATAGTGTTTTCCATAGTGGCTGCACCAGTCTGCATTTCCACCAGCAGTGTACCAGGGTCCCCTTTTCTCCACACCCTCGCCAGCCCTAGTTGTTTGATGATTTGTTGATGGTGGCCATTCTGACAGGTGTGAAGTGATACCTTGTTGTTATTTTAATTTGCATCTCTCTGATGATTAGTGACGTTGAGCATTTTTTATATATCTTTTGGCTATTTGTATCCTGTTTGGAGGGGTGTCTCTTTAGGTCCTCTGCCCATGTTTTAATTGGGTTCTTTGTCTTCCTTTTGTTGAGTTCTGTGAGTACTCTATATATTTTGGAAATTAACCCCTTATCTGATGTATCATTGGCAGTTATGCTCTCCCATATAGTGGGTTTCCTTTCCATTTTGATGGTTGTTTCGTTTGCTGTGCAGAAGCTTTTTAGTTTGATGTAGTCCCATGTGTTCATTTTTTCCTTTGTTTCTATCACCATAGGACAGGTGATGTATCAGTGAAAAGTCTGCAGTATATGATGTCTGAAATTTTGTTGCCTGCATTTTCTTCTAGGATTTCTGTGGAATCACGAGTCACATTTAAGTCTTTTAGCCATTTTGAGTTTATTCTTGCATATGGTGTAAGTTGGTGGTCTAGCTTCATTTTTTTGCATGGAGCTGTCCAATTTTTCCAACACCATTTATTACAGAGACTGTCTTGACTCCACTGTATGCTCTTGCCACCTTTGTCAAATATTAATTGAGTATATTGTATTGGGTCAGTTTCTGGGGTCTCTATTCTGTTCCATTGATCTACGTGCCTATTCTTGTGCCAGTACCAGGCTGTTTTGATAGTAATGTGATTCTTCCTACTTTGTTCTTCTTTTTCAAGATTGCTGTGGCTATGCGGGACCTTTTTTTGGTTCCATGTAAACTTTTGGAGTATTGATTCAAGTTCTGTGAAGTATATTGTTGGTATTTTGATGGGGATTGCATTGAATCTATAGATAGCTTTGGGTAGTATGGACATTTTAATGATGTTAATCCTTCCAATCCATGAAAAAGGTACATGCTTCCACTTTTTTATATCTTCCTCTATTTCTTTTTTCAATGACCTGTAGTTTTCTGTGAAGAGATCCTTTACTTCTTTTGTTAAGTTTATTCCTAGGTACCTTAATTTTTCTGCCACATGCTAAATGGGATTTTTTTTTAGTTTCTTTCTGTGAGTTCATTGTTGGTGTAGAAGAATGCCATTGATTTCTTGATGTTAATTTTATATCCTGCTACTTTGCCAAATTCATATATTAAGTCTAGTAAATTTTTTATGAAGTCTTTGGGGTTTTCTATGTATAATATTATGTCATCTATGAAAAATGACAGTTTCACTTCCTACTTTCCAGTTTGGATCCCTTTTATTTTTTTCTTCCTGTCTAATTGCTGTGGCTAAGACTTCCAGTACTACGTTAAATAAGAAAGTGGACATCCTTGACTTGTTCCCGTTCTTTAGGGAAATTTTTTTAGTTTTTTCCCATTGAGTATGATGTTGGCTGTAGGTTTTTATATATGTGGCCTTTATATGTCAAGATATAATCCCTCTATTCCCACATTGCTGAGCGTTTTTATCAGAAATCGGTGCTGGATTTTGTCGAATGCTTTTTCAGCATCTATTGATATGATCATGTGGTTTTTATCTTTCATTTCGTTTATGTGGTGAATCACATTTATTGATTTTCGAATATTGTACCAGCCTTGCATCCCTGGGATGAATCCCACTTGGTCATGGTGAATAATTTTTTTGATGTATTGCTGGATCCGATTTGCTAGTATTTTGTTAAGAATTTTGGCATCTTGCCCTGGCCGGTTTGGCTCAGCGGTTAGAGCGTCCGCCTGTGGTCCGGAGAGACCGGGGTTCGGTTCCCACTAAGGGCATGTACCTCGGTTGCAGTCTGTCCCCGGCCCTGGTTGGTCGTGCGGATGGCAGCCACTCGATGTGGCCCTTTCACATCAATGTTTCCCTCTTTCTCTCTTCTTCTCTCTCCCTCCCACTCTGTACAAAAAATGGAAAAATGTCCTCGGATGAGGATAAAAAAAAAAAAGAATTTTGGCATCTATATTCACCAGGGATATTGGCCTGTAGTTTTCTTTCTTTGTAGTGTCTTTATCCAGTTTTGGAATTAGAATTATGCTGGCCTCATAAAATGAGATTGGAAATCTCCCGTCTTCTTGGATTTTCTGGAATAGTTTGAGAAGTATGGGTATTAGATCTTCTTTGAATGTTCGGTAAAACTCCCCTGTGAAGCCATGCGGGTCTGGGCTTTTGTTTGATGGGACGTTCTTAATTATATCTTCAATTTCCTTTGTTGTTATTGGTCTGTTCAAGTTTTCTATCTCTTCTTGGTTCAGACAAAGTTTTGGGAGACTATGTGTTTCTAGAAATTTGTCCATTTCGCCTAGATTGTCCCATTTGTTGGCATATAATTCATAGTATGGCATAATTCATGTTCATAGTATGTTTCAATGATCCTTTGTATTTCTGTGGTGTCAGTAGTTAATTCTCTTCTTTTGTTTCTGGTTTTGTTTATTTTGGGTCCTCTCTTCTTGTTTCTTGGTGAGTCTGTCTAAAGTTCCATTTATCTTGTTTATCTTTTCAAAGAACCTGCTTTCTGTTTCATTGATCTTTTGAACTGTTATTTTTTTCAGTCTCTATGTCATTTATTTCTGCTCTGACCTTTATTATTTCCTTCCTTCTACTTGATCTGGGTTTTTCTTTTTGTTTTCTTTTTAGATCTTTAAGTTGTAGG